GATGACTGCTTTTCTGTCTCTTCATTTCCCATCTGCCTGGGACTTAGGGCTGAAGTCTCTTGTGGGCAGCATAGAGCCGGGTCTTGCTTTTCTGTCCATTCCATCATTTGTGTTTTGATTGGAGCATTTATTCCTTTTACAGTCAAAAATTTATTGACAGGTATGTACACAGAGCCTAGAGCCATTTTGTTACTCTTTTATGTTTTTTAAAGTTCTTTTCTGCTTGTTGTGGAAAATCCCAGGTGACTGAGGAAACTCAGGCACGCGGCGAGATGGGAGAACACAGCTTTATTAACACTAGCGGGCCCAGTGGGATCGTTCCCAAAGACTGAGCACCTGACAGGGTTAGGGGTGAGTTTTTATGGATACAGGCAATGGGGGATGGTAATGGTGTTTTTGAGGTCTCTCAAGGCCAAATGGCCCTTTCACTTGCAAGTATAATCTGAGGTAAGTGAAGAGAGTGCTAAATCACCTAGGGGGCTGTTTCTCTTTCTTTTCTTATTTAAACAGGACTGGGCACCGTGGTCTTTTTCCCATCTCAGCAGGAGCAAAGACTTGTTATCTTCTTAGTCAAATGGGATGGCTATTTGGTCTTTCCTTGGCCTCAGCTGGAGCAAAGGGGAGCCAGGGGCAGAAAGGGGCTCATGGTGTGTTGAGTTTCTTCAGTAAGATTACTTGGATTCCTGCGGGTTTTTTTGCAATTCACCGTTTTGATCTGTGGTTACCATTAGGCTTGTGCATAGTATCCACACCGGCAGTCTGGGTTAAGTCGATGCTGCTTATGTTTAAACCCTTTCTTTACTCCTCCCCCTCTGCGGTTTTGGTATGTGGTTTCATATTTCACATCCTTCTGTTTTGTGGATTCCTTGGTTGACTTTTGCAGATACACTTGATTTTTCTGCTTGTGTCCTCCCCGCTGTCCTTATTTCTGAGTATGGTCTTCCCTTCCCAATCAAGAGTCCCCTCTACCGTTTCTCCTAAAGCTGGTTTAGTGGCGAGTTCCTGTAACTTTTGTTTGTCTCAGCAGCTCTTCCTCTCCTCCCATTCTGAGTGATAGCATTTCTGCATAGAATATTTTGGGTGGCAGGTTGTTTTCTTTAAGCATTTTGAATGTAACTCACTACTCCCTTTTGGCCTGTGTAGTTTATCCTGAAAAACCAGCTGATACCCTTATGGGGTTTTTCTTTGTATGCAATAGTTTTCCTTTTGCTGCTTTTAAAAGTTTCTCTTCGTGAATTTTTGCCATTTTAATTACTATGTGTCTTTTTATCCCCCAGAGATTTTAATTAACTATTTTATTTATTTATTTGAGAGAGGAAGAACGAGCACAAGCTACGGGGAAGGGTAAAGGAAAAAGCAGGCTCCTCCCCACTGAGCAGGAAGCCCACTTCAGGACTCCATCCCAGGACCCTGAGATCATGACCAGAGCTGAAGGCCAAGGCTTAACTGACTAAGCCACCCAGGTGCTCCTGATTACCGTGTGTGCTGGTGCAGACCTCCTTTGGGTTGACTTTATTGAGGGCTCTCTGTGCCTCTAGATCTGGAATCCTGTTTCCTTTTCCAGATTGGGGAGATATTGAGCTATTAAGGAAATTTTCTGCCCCCCCCCTTTTCTCCTCACATATGGGATTCCTCTAATGTCAGTTATCATGCTTGATCTATTTTCATCATTTATTAATCTTTGTTCTTTCTGTTCAGCTTGATTACTTCCTGTTCCTCTATCCTCCAGGTTATGGATCCATTTTTCTGCTTCCTTGTCTACTCTTTATTCCCTCTCGTGTATTTTTAATTTGTTCTTCTCCTCTTATCTTTCCTGTCTCTAAGGGTCTCACGGAGATCTTCCGCTCTGAAGTCCAGTGATGACCTTGAAATGCTGTCGGCACGTTACTTACCCGTCTCCCCTGGGACGCGTTCCTCAGTCTCATTTTGTCTCTCTTTCGGTGTTAAGACAGTCAGCTGAATCTGTGGCTCTTCTAAGCAGCGGCCTTGTGGAGAGTTCCGCCTGCAGGGCAACGTGCCCCACTCATCAGGACACGTGCGTGGGGGGGTCTGTGTTGTGTGCGCCCTAGGGCTGTCGGGGAGCTGCGCTTGCCCTCCGGGCGGCCCTCTGGACAGCTCCCTCGGCCTGCTGGATCCACGTTTGGTCCCTGTGAGCCGGTCTGAGGCTGCCTCGGGCTCGAGCTGAGACAGCCCCAGTGTTTGCCAAAGAGGCAGTGGCACCGAGTCGCGGGGTGCCCCGTGTCGGCCCCTGCGCAGCTTCAGAGCAGATGTCTGCCCTGCTCTGCCCCGGGGGCCGAGTCAGCCTGGGGCATGTGGGTACCTCACCTGCTCCCTGGGGCAGGAGGCACGGGGGAGAGTGAGGCTGGCCCCCCAGGAGGTGGCAGGGCTGTGGCATTGGCAGCTTGTGGGTAAGGCTGGCCATGAGGGGTGGCCAGGAGCCCCTTTAGAAAACTCTTGCCACAAGCCAGATGGGGAGGCCCCTGAGCGTGTGGACGCGCCGTGTGGTGTGGCTTGTGGTGTGGCATGTGGTGTGGAAGGGCTGTCCAGGTCCCGGGCAGGAGGGCACTGGAGCGCCCAGAACTGCTTCAGAGGGACTGTGGCCGGAGGCAAATGTGGGGCAGAGGCTTGCGGGGAGCACGGCACTGGCCCGGCCCCCACCCTCTGCGGGTCCAGGCTGGGGTGCAGGAGAGGAAGTAGAGGCTGCTGGCGTCTGCTGTTGGAGAAACCCAACACTCCCGTCCCTGTCGCAGACGCTTGGAGGGCGGCACACAAAGCTCGCGCCCGCAGACCGCGGGCATTTCTCACACTGCTGCTGCTCTGCGTCTCCTGGCGGCAGACAGCGGGGGCCTCCCGTCTCCTCCCGCCTGCCCTACCCAGAGCTCAGCAGCGGATCTTTAAAGTCCCCGCTGAAGCACCCCTGATCGGATGCCCTTGGGGAACCCGGCCGCTGTTTCCAAAGCTGGAGGCTCTGGGCTTCATCTCCCCGTGCGGCTCCCAGGCCGGGCGGGGTCTGCTGCTCTCCCCTCTTGGCGCCCAGGGTGCCCCCATCCCCCACCCACAGACAGTGGCGAGGGTCCATCTGCCTCCTGATCACACCTCCACCCTCCTGTCTTCTCTCACGTGGCCGCTTCTCTGCATTTCGCTTGCGAGAGTCTGTCCTGCCAGTCTCTGCAGCATTTTCTGGGCCATTGTGCGCTGAAGCGGGTGCAACCTCATTGTACCCACGGGACCAGGTGAGCTCAGTGCACCCTGCTGCCCCGTCTCCCCTGGATGGCTCTCGACTTTCCCGTGTCACTGCACTTCGCTCCAATTCCCCTGAACCTGCGAGGATAAATGGAGATGAGGATCTGGACTTGGGATTATTCTGCACGGGAAATCCTCTTTTCAAGCAGCAGCGCGGTGCCTGGCCCCGTGCAGTCCTCCTTCCTGTTTGATCACTGTGGGTCCCTTTCAGATCGGCAGCTTCCAACGAGGCAGACTGACCGCCTTTCCACCTCCTGCCTACAGTGGCTTCGTCTGTGGGAGGGTTTTCTTCCCCCAGAGAGCCCCCCCGGCACACAGCCGCCGCTGCTGTCCACTCCCACTCCCACAGCTCTCCTGCTGTCCTGTCTCCCCTTTGCCGGGCCCTCCCCTCTCGGCTCAGGTTTCCCTGGAGCACTAGCTTCTTCCTCCTGCTTATTTTCATCTGTGACTTTAAAATTTGCTTTATGTGACAGGGCACCACTATAAAGCACTTGAAGAGTTCGCAAACACTCAGTCGTGCGAGTGGGGGACCCTGCAGTTTTAGAACTAGGTTCTGGACAGAGTGGGGACAGTTGTGGCACGCCACCTCAGTTTCAGGCATGTCAGAGGCTGTGCAGCCCCCCGCCCCCCCCTGCACAGAGGGTGCTGCTACAGGCTCTGGTGGCTCAGACAGGACACCCATCTCCTCCCCCACAAGGCCTGCTCCCCCGCGACCAGCCAGAGGCAAGGACGCAGCAGGGTCCCAGGTGAGCAGGGTGCCTGGCTCATGGCAGCGTGGTGGGTGGCAGCTCGCTTTCCCGCCATCTCCTCCTTGCCCTTGTCAGGCTGGAGGCCCTCACGGGGCGGGGGGGTGGGGAGCTTCTCAAGCAGCTTGTGACAGGGGTCAGGGCACGGATGCCTCCTGCAGGGCCCGTGTGGATGACCTGCTTGTGCCCTAGTCTGCGCCGTGTTCAGGAGGCACAGCCACATCTCAATGTGAGAGGGAAGAGGCATACCCCTGTGTGCGCTTATCTTGGGGGCCTCCGGGATTCTTCCTTCCCGTTCTTGGTGTTCTGGCACAGACCTGACCTTCAGGACAGTAACGATGGTAACTCAAAACTTCACAACCCCTTAGTCTCTCAGTGGTTCAATCATTTTCCTAGTCGTTTACTTAATAATTAAGTCTTCCATTAAGGCCTGTGTCGCTGAATCAGTTTTCTCAAAACACAGTCATGTGGAGTCCTCTCCTCCCTTGGTCCTTTCTTGTGGCTTCTAATTAGTTTTTGCGCCATCTATTCTTAACAAATATTTTATCTTTAGGAAAATAAATGTACAGAAAAGAAGTCATCTGTACATGTTTTTAAATCAGTAGTTAATGCTGTGGGTCGCACTGTGTCCCCCTGAAGGTACAGTGCAGCCCTAGCACTGTAGGTACCTGTGAACGTGAGCTTATCAGAAAGACACTTTTGGAAACGGGATGCAGGTGAGATGCGGTCGTCCCATAGCAGGGCAGGCGCAGGTCTGGTGCTGTCCTTAGGAGAAGGTCTGTGAAGGCAAATGGGAGGGACGCATCTACAAGCCAGAGAATGCGGATTCCTGCCAACCACCAGCAGCCAGGAGGGGGGCAAGGATGACCCTCCCCCCCAAGACCCTCAGCAAGAGCACGGCCCTGCAGGCGGGGCTGCGCCACTGCCCCCAGAGTGGGGGACACGCCCTTCACAACAGGACCCCCAGCTTTACCACAGGGAAGACTAAGAGGCCGTCTTTTGCCTTTTCAGACATCAGTGAAGACTGAGGAAGAAGCCACCCAGGCCCTTGTCACAGAGCAGCAGCCACCACCGAGTCGGACCCCCAGGAGCCCCTGTGGGAAGTCGGCTCAGGAGAACGTTCCGGACGTCTGTCTGATGGGTGAGGGCAGCCTCTGGCCGGTCCCGTGTCTGTGCGCACCTTCTCCTGTCATTAGCTCTGAATGACCCTTGTGAGCCAACATTCCCGACAGCCCATCAACTCCCTTCCCCTTCTCTGTCCTCTGCCTGCGGACTTGTCCCAGCCCTTGCCCTTTCACATCCCTCCCATTTTCTTCTGTCACTCATCACTCCGCTTACTGACTCTTGTCACCTTCTCGCTCATCCCTCCGTACTCCCTGACCCCCTCACGACTCCTCTGCTTCCCGTTTTCTTTCCTATAAAGGATTCCATGTAAGTGTCCGGTTGAGACACCTCCAGTCCGGAAACCGCACACACGCCTCTGCCTGATCCCTTCTTTACCACAGAGAAGCTCTCTTCACGCTCCAAAAAGACTATTGTCCTATTCATATAATTTTCTTTAAATGTGCTTTATCTTGCTAGACCCTCTCCCCAGCTAACTGACCTTTCTCATTATCTTCCCAAACTGTGCCAGACTTTGTAGGGCTGCGGGACAGCATCCCTGACGATTATGTTAATTTGAAAATCCTATTCCCAGGGCACCTCACCGGCTCTGTCAGTAGAGCAGGCGACTCCCGATCTCAGGTTGTGAGTCTGAACCCCACCTTGGCCGTAGAGCTCCCTGAAAAAGAAAATTCTGTTCCCTACTCTGGAAATTTTTTTTTCCTCTTTCTTAATTCAGGCAACAGATGACCTATAAATTGTATTATTTTAGCTGAAGAAGTTGTAACTGAAGATGGGTTATTTAATGCAAAGAAAGAAACTTCTCAAGAAATGGAGCACACTGCTGAGGCCCCAGGAACAGCCAGTAGGTGAGTGTCCACTGGTCCAAAGCTGCTTCCCTGGGATAGTGCAGGACCAGTAACTCTCACTTCTGTCACCACAGGAGGCCTGAGTCACGGTGACCTACCAGCACCCGCATTACACAAAACCTTCAGTTGGCGCAGAGTTGCCTCCAAGAATCCCATCCTGACTCCGTTTACCTTTCCTGGTCCCCCTTCCCTGAGTGCCCTTAGGTCTTTGTGGAACCACAGATGAGCCAGAGAAGGCAGAGAATTTAGACAAGAGCGAGGCCTGTCGTGGCGGTGGAGAGACCTTGCGTTAGCAAAGTGGCTGGTGGCGAAGGAAGTAAAGACAGCAGCGGGTACTTGGTGCTGGCTGTGGGAATGGAGCACGGGGACTCCTCACGCAGGACAGGAGGCACCTGGTCAGAGGCAGAGGGCTGCGTTCAGGTGAGGCCATGAGCCCCTTGGAGGTGAGGAGAAGAGGAGAAAGGACACCGTGTGGGGTAATTAGCCTGCCTCAGGGCAGCGGTGGGGAGCACTCCGAACCCCAGCTGAGAGCGGAAATGTCTTAAAACCTAAGAAAAGTGAAATTGTTCATAAAGTCCAGAGGCCTGAGCCAAGGTCCACCGAACGAGATGATGCTGTGAGTCCTCGTGCGTGTGCAGTGGGGATCCGGTGGCGTCTGCCGGGGGCGCTTGGCCTCAGAACCCAGGAACCTGACTCCCCGCGTCTCCACCCGCTGTGGCCCTGGCAGCCACAGTTGCTTTACCTCCTTTTCCTGCTACTCGCTCCCCTTTCCTCCTCCATGAGGCACGTCCATCATCAATATCTGTTTGTATAAAATACACACTTTCAGACCTGCGCGTGTCTCCCAAGTACTCACAGCCACCACGGAGCCCGCGGGCCCTTGGCAGGGACACCGCTGCGGGCGGCTGACTCCGCTCCACGCCCTCGTGGGGGACTTCTCCCGGCCAGACCACGGGCCGCAGGATGGCAGAGTCCGAGGATGTGTCTTCGTTCACTTCTGCGCGGTATAGCCGCCTGGACTCGCAGAGAGAAGCTCCGCCTGTGCTCAGACCAGCGGGAAGAGGCTCCTACTCGCCAGCAAGTGTCATTACCCAGTTCTGGCCCCGGTGACTGCAGGAGGGTCCCTGCGGCGCCAAGTACTAGGTCTACAGCGGGCAGGAGGCTGCCTCTACGCATGTGCCCTCCCAGGACCGAGAGCGCAGACGGCTTCCCGGAGGCCACGCCCGGCTTCCCGTTTCTTACTGGCTGAAAGGGACTCCAGGGACGTCTGGCGGAAAAAGGCTGGTGGCACCGAGTATCTAGAAGGGAACGGGATTGGAAGGACTGGCGTGGACCGGGTTCTGGCCTTTACTGGACCGTGGCTGCCTCCAGTATCCCGGGCTTTCTGACGAGCTGACTTAAGAGGCACGGACTGCTGGCAGGACAGTCGCAGCCTGCCACTGTCCCCAAGCAGATGGTCTGGGAAAGCTCCTTGGGTTTCTGTCACAGGCCACGATGAGCTAGACAGGTGTGGATCCAAGATCAGTGATGAGCTGATGGGAGAGGCGGAGGAAGAGCTGTGCTGGAGGACTGTCTTCTAGCCGCTGTGCTTACGCTCCGGCTTTCCAGCTGGTTTCCCTTGGCTCCACCCGGTCAGGAAGCGCCTTGTCCCTGCCGTGCACAGTCCTGGGAGGGCACAGTGCGGGACACAGCGTGGGGCAGGGAAGGGGCCGTCTGGACGGGACTTGGGGCCGGGCCGGGGTCTGGGGCTGCAGATGAGGTGGGAAGGAGAGAGGCCGAGGAGGGACCACGCCGGCGCCCAAGAGGGTCGAGAGCTGGTGGGGGGGGGGGGGGGGGGGGTGGGGGGGGGAGTGGCAGGAGCCACAGCAGGTGGCCGGGTCATTGGCACTTTCTGCCTGAGCCATTCTGGGGCTTCTCTGGAGCAGAGCGTGAGGCTGTGGGACTGAAGTTTTGAGGATGAAGAGGTTAAGTGTGGGGAGCAGGGAGCGAGGGGCTAGGGAGCAGGACTCCAGACAGTCTCGGAGACCGACACGGTGAGCAGGGAGCGGCGCCCATGTGGGAGCCAGGACCGGAGAAGCCCCAATGGCGGCCTCATTTGGCGCTGAAGTTGGGCTGCAGAAGGTCCCTGGGCAGGTGCTCGGGGACGATCCTGGCCAGAGAGGGGCTGAGGTTGCGGACCGCGGGGTCAGCTGACTGGGCAGGGAGGGGCCCGTGAGATGGGAGGGCAGAGGCGTGGGGCGGCGAGACGAAAAGACGCGGCACGACGGCGGCCTCCGCACAGGGTCCCCGCAGCAGGAACATTAGGCAACGCCATATGGGCCACGCGTGCGCACTGGAGACACCCAGGATAAATGCTGTAAGCAAACAATACATGCAGCGTAAGTTATAACATATTCTTTTCAGTGTCTTTTCCCCCTTAGTCTAGACTGTTTCTTTACCAAGAGGACACGAGTGGGGGAAATCCAAACTTCTCAGATTAAAAAAAAAAAAGCTTGTGTAGAATGTTTCTCATCTTGGTGACATTAGCTTCCTTCCTTTAAACCCCGTAAAAACCAGCTCAACAGCAGTTAAGTTTTAATTTCTCTTAAGTTTCTCCCCAGAACAGTGTGTCCCCCAGCTGAACGTAGAGCTGGGAGAAACTTAATCCTTCCACATTCAGAAGTGCTGAAAGAGGCGTGAGGGAGCCCAGTAAACAACAACCCCCTTCCTTGTCCAAGTTTTAGACGAACTGATGGAGATACAGGAGTAAAAAAGATAATTCTGGAAACCTCAACTTCATTACCAACAGAAGCTTGGCTAGAAAAGGAGCCCCCCAGCAGACCTCCCCCTACACAGGCCTGCCTGGTACAACTTGGGGCCAAAAGGAGCTTGGGACATCTGCCACCTGGTCCCGAAGAGGGAGTTGCTGCACAGAGATGCCCAGCTCCTCCTTCCAGACTCAGGTCCTAGGAGTGAGAAGCAGGTAATCTCGCAGGATTCATGTCATAGTGAGACTAAGGATTTTTGTGTTGTTTTCTTTTTTCATTCCAGAGATGGCATGCTCCAGCCACCTTGTACTTCTGTCCCTACTGACAGGACAGTTGCACATTTGAACACCCTGAAGGACCGTTACCCGGGTGACTTGTGGGCCCGAATGCACATCTCCTCCTTGGAATATGCTGCAGGAGACATGACCCGCAAGGGGAGGAGAAAGGACAGAGCTCGGGTGAGTGAACTGCTCCAAGGCCTTGCATTCTCTGGGGACTCAGATGTGGAAGAAGATAACAAGCTTGAGGCCCACCACGCTCAAAAGAAGCTAAAGATATCAGATGTACCCGAGAAGAACTGGGCCAAAAGAGACATTAAACCCAACTTCCCAAGCTGGTCAGCACTGGATTCTGGACTTTTGAATCTTAAGAGTGAGAAGCTGAACCCAGTAGAGCTCTTTGAGTTATTTTTTGATGATGAAATATTCAACATGATTGTCAATGAAACCAATAATTACGCATCTCAGAAAAATGTCAACCTGGAAGTCACAGTTCCGGAAATAAGGTGTGTCTTGGGTATCTTGCTTTTGAGTGGATTTGTGAGGCGTCCCCGAAGGGGAATGTACTGGGACATCTCCGATGCTGACCAGAACCTGGTTAGAGATGCAATTAGAAGGGACAGATTTGAATTGATTTTCTCATACCTACATTTTGCAGATAATAGCCACCTAGATCAAAAAGATAAGTTTACAAAGTTGAGGCCTCTCATAAAGCAAATGAATAGAAATTTCCTCCTGTATGCTCCCCTGGAAGAGTACTATTATTTTGGTAAGACAATGTGTGAATGCTTTGACAGTGACCAGTTCCTGAATGGGAAACCTCTTAGAATTGGCTATAAAATCTGGTGTGGCACAACCACACAGGGTTATCTGGTGTGGTTTGAGCCCTATCAAGAAGACTCAGCAGTGATAGTGGGTAAGAATGTCGATCTGGGTTTAGGTGGGAATCTAGTGCTGCATTTTGCTGATGTTCTTCTAGAGAGAGGCCAGTATCCCTATCACCTGTGTTTTGATAGCTTCTTTACGAGTATCAAATTGGTGTCAGCCTTGAAGAAAAAAGGACTGAGGGCAACAGGAACAATTCGAGAGAACAGGACTGAAAAATGTCCCCTCATGAATGCAGAACATATGAGGAAAATGAAGAAGGGATATTTTGATTTCCGAGTAGAAGAGAATGAGGAGATAATTTTGTGTCGTTGGCATGGTGATGGCATTATCAGCCTGTGCTCCAACGCTGTGGGCATAGCACCAGCCAGGGAGCTCAGGTGTTCTGCTAATGAGGAGGACGTCCACCAGGGAGCTCAGCCGGCCATAGTGAAACTGTATGGTGAGTGCAGGGAAGGTGTCGCTAAAATGGATCAAATCATTTCCAAGTACAGGGTGAGAATAAGAAGCAAGAAATGGTACTCAATTTTGGTGAGCTACGTAATTGATGTAGCCATGAACAACGCCTGGCAGCTACACAGAGCCTGTAACCCGGGCACCGCTCTAGACCTCCTAGAGTTTCGGAGATACATCGCACATTTCTACTTGGAACACAATGCTAATCTGTCAGATTAAGGCAGAAAAAATGAACACGATACCAATATTAACAGGACAAAAATATCACAGGTACAAATCAGATTGTACCCTTCCAAAGCAAACATTCCATGTAATGGAATTATTAAGTAAATATTTTAAAAAGCCAAGCATCTCTGTAGAGTTTCAAAGACTACTGTAACAAGTAATTTTTAAAAAAAAATGTTGAACTTGAGTGTTACCTTTTTCTATGACTAGTTTTTGATGTGAGATATGGGAAACCATTTGTTGAATTGAATAAAGAGGTACAGTTTCATTCTTTCAGTGCACAAATTAATTTTTTGTGGAGATTTTTTAAAAATGCAAACGCTGTCATAGTAACCACAGGATGGTGCTGAATCTGCAGTTGAAAATCCAGGCAGAGCCCATGACGTAAAGATGATCTAAGAAAGACCTTAGGTGATAAGAGGCTGAAAACCTCAGTGCTGCTATAAAACTGGACCAGATGGTGGGCAGGAGAGGAGGGCCAGGCCGGCGCACTGGCAGGGGGTACTGTAAAGGAGAAACGGGGGAAGCAGTGCCTCTGGAGGCTGAAATGAAAGCTCTGTGCTGCTGGGACTCGGGGCTGGCAGAAGCAGCTAAGAGTAAAGAAAACTGAGGAAACAGGAAGCAAATCAAGTAACAACAGCATCTTCAGGGGAGGAAAGGAGAAGTCACCAGCAGGGTAAAGTGGACATAAAGCCCATGGAGAAAAAGCTGTATGTTGAATTGAACAGCCTAGAAGAAATGGATAAATTCCTCAAAGCACAAACTATCAAAACTAAATCAGGAACAGGGGCACCTGGATGGCTCAGTGGGTTAAGCCTCTGCCTTTGGCTCAGGTCATGATCCCAGGTTCCTGGGATCAAGCACCACATCGGGCTCTCTGCTCAGCAGGGAGCCTGCTCCCCACCCCCTGCCTGCCTCTCTGCCTACTTGTGATCTCTCTCTGTTAAATATATAAATAAAATCTTAAAAAGAAAAAAAAATCAGGAAAAAATAGAAAACTTCAAACATGCCCATAACCAGCAAAGAAATTAAATCAGTAATCAAAAATCTCCAACAAACAAAAATCCAGGACCAGATGGCTTCACAGGAGAATCCCACCAAGCATTTAAAGAACAGTTAATAACCAATTCTACCCCCAGAATATTCCAAAAAAAGAGGAAGGAAAACTTCCAAATCATTCCATGATACCAAAACCAGATAAAGACACCACAAAAAAAAAGGAACTAGAGGCTACAGCACAGAAATAGGGATGAATGGGCCTGGTGGTCCCTTACTCACAGTGGAGCAGAGGTGACAGAAACAGGAGGGCAGTCCTTGCAGGATGGAGCAATGTGCACGCGAGCTGGCTGGACTGAGAACACGGGCGCATCGCCCGAGGGCTCTCCCAGGCTGCCGACTTGAGGGCGATCTGTCTGGGGCTTGTACTCCCAAAACCAAGCCACCTCTTTCTATTCCCAGATCTCATATAATCTTGGGGCAAATCTCATGAAATCCCAGCCCAACTCTCATGAGACCTTGGGGCATATCTTGCAGGAACCGGTAGGAGAGGGAGGTCCCTAGCTAGCCTCCTTTGTGCAGTAAGTAGGTCATGATGCATAGGATGCAAAAATCCTCAACAAAATATCAGCAAACTGAATCCAACAGTATATTAAAAAAAATCATACACTACTATCAAGTGAGATTAATTTCCCAGACACAAGGGTGGTTCAATATTCGCAAAACAATCAACATGATCTATCAAATTATTAAGGGAAAGCACTAAAACCGTATGATCATTTCAATAGATGCAGAAAAAACATTTGACAAAATACAACATCCATTCATGACAGAAACCCTCTGCAAAATAGGTCCAGAAGGAACATATCTCGACATAATTAAGGCCTAAAATGAAAAATCCACAGCCAGCATACTCAGTGGTGAAAAACATAGTTTTTCTCCTAAGATCAGGAACAAGACAAAGAATTCCACTCTCATCACTTTTATTCACCACAGTACTAGAAGTCCTCACCGCAGAAATTAAACATAAAGAAAAGGCATACACATTGGTAAGGCATTAATAAAACTCTCCCGGTTTATAGATATATGATACTATATATAGAAAACCCTAGAGACTCCAAAAAACTTCTTTAGCTGAGAAATAAATTCATAAGGAGGCAGGACACAAAATCGGTAAGCAGAAACCCACTGCATTTCTATATAGTTGTAATGAACTAACAGAGAAACTAAGAAAATAGCCCTGCAGGGGCACCAAAAATAATACCTAGGAACAAATGTTACCATGGAGGTGAAAGACCTGTACTCAGAAAATAATGGAACACTGATGAAGGAAACTCAAGACAACACAAATGAAAGGCATACCATGCTCATGGGTTGGAAAAACAAATAGTGTTAAAACATCTATACTACGCAAAGCAACCTACAGATGTCACGCAATCCCTATCAAAACACGAATAGCATTTTGGGGCGCCTGGGTGGCTCAGTGGGTTAAAGCCTCCGCCTTCGGCTCAGGTCATGATCTCAGGGTCCTGGGATCGAGCCCCACATCGGGCTCTCTGCTCAGCGGGGAGCCTGCTTCCCCCTCTCTTCTGCCTGCTTCTCTGTGTACTTGTGATCTCTCTCTCTCTGTCAAATAAATAAATAAAATCTTTAAAAAAAAAAAAACACGAATAGCATTTTTCACAGAACTAGAAAAAATCCTAAAGTCTCCTAAACAAAAGACCCCAAATAGCCAGAGCAGTTTTGAAAAAGAACAAAATGGGAAATAGCACAATTGCAGATATCAAGTTATATTACAAAGTAGTAGTAACTAAAATTGTATGGTACTACATAAGAACAGACACACAGATCTATCAAAGAGAACACAAAATCCAGAAATAACTCCACAGTTATAGTCAATCTGACAAAGGAGGAACGAATATACAATGGGAGTCTCTCCAACAAATGGTGTTGGGAAAACTGCTTGGGTATAGACATTGCTTAAAATACACACACACACACACACACACACACTCACACTCTCTCTCTGATCACTTTGTATTTCTACTTATTTACTTTGTATTTTTTTTTAAATTATTTTTAAAAGCTTTTATTTTCAAGTAATGTCTATATCCAGTGTGGGGCTTGAACTCACAACCCAAGATCAAAAGCCACATGCTCTACTGACTGAGCCAGCCAGAAGCCCCATAACGCTTTCTTTCACCACACACAAAAATAAACTCAAAATGGATTAAAGACCTAAATGTGAGATCTGAAACCCTAAAAATCTTTGAGGAGCACACAGGCAGTGATTTCTCTGACACTGATCATCAATAGCAACATTATTCTCCTGACACAAAGGAAATAAAAGCCAAAATAAACCACTGGGACTCCATCAAAATAGAAAGCTTCTCCACAGCAAAGGAAACAAGAAAAGTGAGAGGCAACCTATGGAATGGAAAAATGTATTTGCAAATGACATATCAGATAAAGGGTTAGTAGCCAACTTAAAGAACTTATTTGGCTCAACACCAACAAAACAAATACTCCAATTAAAACGTGGGCAGAAGATGTGTACAGACATTTCTTCAGAGAAGACATCCAGATGGTGAACAGACACATGACAAGATGCTCCCCATCACTCGGCATCAGGGAAATACAAATCAAAACCACAATGAGACACTGCCTCACACCTCAGAATGGCTAAAATCAACAACACAAGAAACAAGTGTTGGCAAGAAAGCAGAGAAAGGGGAACCCTCTTAAACCCAAGGGAGTCCACATCAAGACACATACTAATTAAAATGGCCAAAGTCAAGATAAAATGTCAGCTCTCGCCCCCAAGGGAGGAAGCAAGATGGTGGAGGAGTAGGAGACTGAAACAGCATCAGGTCCCAGGAGATCAGCTAGATAGTTATCAAACCACTCTGAACACCTAAAAACTCAACAGGAGACAGAAGAGCAGCAATTCTAGGAACAAAATCACTACTTTCAGGAAGGTGGGATGTGCAGAGTAGTGAAACCGAAGCGACGGGAAGATAGACCGCGGTGGGGAGGGACCAGCCCCAGCAAGCGGCAGAGCAACAGAGCACAAAATCAGAACTTCTACAAGTCTGTTCCACTGAGGGACATCACTCCAGAGGCTAAGTGGGGGTGGAGCCTCTAGGGGACTCTGGGGGACAGTGTGGTCTCAGGTCCCATGGGATCAAAGAAAGACTGGAGGTGCCTGAATGTGGTAGAGCCCCCAGGCATCAGAGTGGGGAAGCCAAATACAGAGACAGAGCCAAGGAGTGAGCTCTCAGTTCGGGCTTACCTTAAACCGTGATGCGAGAGACACTCAGGCCACTGCTCTTCGAGCAGGGACCCCACAAATGGCAGATCCGGGGAGACCCCCTTCTTCCTCCTCTGGGAAGAACGGCATAAGGGAGCAGCGCAGCAGGAATCTGCTAGGATTGGAGACTCCAAACGGGGCCACATGCCAGAGATAGAAATGCTCAGTCAGAGTGCTCAGAGCGTGGCCGGAGACCAGGGAGACGGGAGAGACTGAGCGCTTTTCTCCGAGGGCGCACTGAGGAGTGGGGCCCCGAGCTCTTGGCTCCTCTGGGCCAGAGATAGGGAGGCTGCTGTCTTCATTACCATCCTCCAGAGATCCATGGAAAGCATTCAGGGAACAAAAGCTCCCAAGAGTGAACCCAAGCAGATTACTTAGCCTGGACCCTGGCAAGGGCAGTGCAGTTCCACCTCGAGCAGACATTTGAGAATCATGGCAACAGGCCCCTCCCCCAGAAGATGAGCAAGAACATCCAGCCAAGACCAAGCTCACCGATCAAGGAGAACAGTGGAACTCCAGAGCTAAGGGAAGGCAACGCATAGAATTCATGGCTTTTTCCCCAAGATCCTTTAGTCTTGCAAAGTTAATTTTTTTTTAAGATTTTATTTATTTATTTGACAGAGATCACATATAGGCAGGGAGGCAGGCAGAGAGAGAGGAAGGGAAGCAGGCTCCTCGCTGAGCAGAGAGCCCGATGCGGGGCTCAATCCCAGGACCCCGAGATCAAGACCTGAGCCAATGGCAGAGGCTTAACCCACTGAGCCACTCAGGCGCCCACAAAGTTAAATTTTTTAAATTTATTTTTGTCTTGTTCTATTTTTTTAACTTTTCCTCTTTCCTC